CTTGTATTATAGATTTGAGGAGGCGTGCTCGAGCATTGGAGAATCACATAGATGTGAAGCTTGTGGCCTTGAATAAACTTGCTTCAGGTATTTTATAAAACATATCATTCTTTAATGAAAACTGAAATCTACCCTTTAAAGGTATGTCTTTTTGGTGAAATTGAATCTGGGAAAATCAAAACATATAAGCATTTTTCATTCATAATTTGAACCAATGTTTTAGGCAAATATGAACCCTCAGTTAGCGAAAAGCCTGTCGCAAACAGCAAGCAAAGTATTTTCGACTCTTTAACTTCTGAGTTAGAGGCTATTATTGGCAAATTAACACAAATAAATGACCAGGTAGTGAAATGGATCGATAGAATTTTCACCGACTTTCACGCTGGTTTGGTTGCTGCTTTTTTTTCTGAGAAATAGTTTTTTGTGATTGGTTTTAGATGGCCGAGCACGTAGAACGTAGCCAAAACAATTTGAATAGCGGGTGGGCCTCCAACCCAGCCCTTAAGCATACTTTGAGGCGTCATAGAGAAATACTTCGAGATTATTGTACGGAGTTTCGTCGAGCACATGATAATATTGGCAACCAAATTCGGAGGTTTCTTGCTTTTTAAGGGCTTTGTTTTGTTTGGTAATACAGCAGTTTTTGATATAGTTGGTGATTTCACGGTATTACCTCAGGGAAAGCCTAATGAGTGGCGGTACGAGCGAAAGTTCAGTATTAAACAACCGTATGAAGCCCAGCGACCTGTACCTTAAAGAGCATGAGCACATAACTAGTTGTGATCATCTTCTCGATGAACAAATAAGGTCTGTGTTGACCTGAATGGGGAGTTTTTTTATGAAGGTAGTGATTCAAGAACTACATCTTTTAAATTAATTGTTTTAGCATTGCTATTAACACAAGGGAGCATGTGAGCAATCAACGACTAAGCCTAAGGGACATTTCTAAAAAAATGCAAACTCTAGCTAGTAAGTTACCATCATTCTGCCATTGAATACCTTACTTCTCTTTAGCTGAACTGGTTCTTTATTTTTTCAAAAGTAGTACAAAATTTTTCCAGAGAAATACCCTCTTATTAATGGAGTTATGCAAAAGATTCAGATGAAGAAACGGAAAGACACTATAGTTATGGCAGCAGTAATTTCGGGTTGCCTAATTCTGACGTTTCTTTATATGATGCATTCCTAGAATTGTACAACCACTTCCGTGATTCATCTCCTCAAATACAGTTCTTTAGCTCAAGAAACTTGTTGTGATTGTGTCACGTACCGGTTTTTATTATTTTATTTGTAAGTATAGAACGTTGCCATCGAAACAATTTCTCGTGTTCGATCGTTCTGTCAGAGTTTTTTCTTGTGATCTATCACTGCATGTTTTGTCGTTTCCTATTTCTAGTACTTTTGAGCCGTTTATTCGTTCTGTTTGTATTTCTGCTTCAAATTTCAGCGTGGCTTGGTGTCTTGAAAACGTATTTTCAAGATTGGGAGAAATGTGTGGACGCAGGATTTAATGAGTAGGAATACAAAGGGGAAAAATGGTTGTGTAAAATGCTGTTTTTTTGACATAATGTTTCTCATATATTTTCACATAGATGGTTGAGACGAATAAGTTTTTTGGTGCGGTTGCAGAAGCAGGTAGCGTTTAGGATTGTC